TAATCATATCTTTTTGGGGACCGCTCGTTCATTTCTATGGGAAAAATGCTAATGCTAATTATGACAACCTTAACCACACAAGGTAAGGTATACCTGAACACACACACACAATCGTCAAGGTACTGTTTTCGTCTTGCGTAAGACGTGCAGTATACGCATGCAGCAATAACCTTGGGAATCCACAAGGTGCTTCAATCATGCTTTCAGTTAAGTTCCAAGAAGATGCATAATCAGACGTTGGACATCTCTTTCCCGATGACTATCTATAATGACACTTCTGCTTTCATTAACTGACTGCTACTTGTGAATAACCTTCAGTTGATGCCTGTTTGAAGTGTTACATTCCAAACACATGCATCACCATGGTTTCTATGCAATACAAAGAGCTACCTGAATAGAACTAAATGGGAACTTTACAGAGTATTTTTCCAACCCTTATAATAAACATGAATATATATTCTTGTTTTTTTCTACCTTTGTGGGGGTCCTATAGCAAGGAACAGGGATCCACTGCTTCTTCTGATTGATGAGCAACACGATGGAAATGGTGACGAGCATCATCAGAACGGGCAGCGCCACCCAGGCCACTGAGTGTAAGGTATCATCTTCACTGGCCACCGGTGTCTTCCCGTCCAAGTACGGCATCTGCAGGCTTCCAAAATTTCCTACAACAACATGAAATAGTCCTGCTGATTACTACTGACATACTAAGGGGGAACAGCAACGTAAATATCTATCTGCAAGCTTCCAAAATTTCCGGCAACATGCTGATTACTACCTAAATGCTACAGAGGTTCAGCAAAAGAAAAATCGATTAGCATTGTTTTCAGTATCTATACTAAATAAATTGTTCTGTATAACTGGAAGCAATATTATTGAACATACTGAATGAACTCCAAGCACAGGTTGAGTTGACTGGTTACTCTGCACTCAATTGTGCTACTCAATATATACAATGAGCAGCTTTTCACTGCAAGAATAGACTAAGAGAACTTGCACTATTTGATCCCAAGAAAAGACTGAGGAAAGGTTGTCTTCCAGACCTCTGAACTGGGGCATTATATCGTTTTCACTTCTTGTGGGCCAAGCTGGCTGGTGCATCTGCGAATCACCTCGCTGGTCCGTCTTTTCGATGGGTATGTTTGTGGGTGGGTACATGCCTAGGAAAAGAAATGGGGAGACATTCTGTCAAAGCACAATTATCACTGTCCGCGTCAGTGACAGCAATGCCAGTGACACAGGTATTTGTAATGTCCTACATACTAAAATATTCTTTGAGGACACGTCTTCAAATACCTCTTTCTGAAAATGAAATGACAGTGAATAGAAATCTCTCTCTCTCTCTGTCTCACACACACACACACACACACACACACAGTTCATACATTCCTATCACTGTATGGACTTTCCAGTCATTTCTATGGGCATAACCATAACTATGATAACCATAACTGATATCCAGCCCTAACCTTAACCATAAGTAACTAAACGATATATAAGACTTTTGACTTTTAGTTTTTTGATTGCAGTCACAGATTTTTATAAATGTGAGTTTCCCCTTGTGAGGACCGAAAAGGTGGTCCCCACAATGTCAAAAGACAGGTTTTTATCACATTGTGGGGACATCTGGTCCCCACAATACAATATATACATGGGTACTTGTCACCTAAATTTAAACCAATTAGTAAGTAAAATGTGTTGTCCAATGTGACAGAAAAATGAAAAGTTAATAAATTTTAATGTAACAATTTGTGGGACTGAAAACAAATATAAAATACCAAAGATGAAAAAACTGCACAAAACTGATGTCTATATTTGGACAGTTAGGGTAATCTTTCTTACAGTTACATACACGGGGAAATTATCTTATTATCTGATTGGATACATTCTGCAATTCATAGAAAGAAGCCGAGTTGTAAACAACACAACAAATAAAATTCTACAAGTGTGAATACAAGTGTATTGCAGACCCTTATTTATATGCCTTCTGTTTTGGTTCCTTCATTGGCTCAAACAGCTGCCCCACACACTCTACTGAAGTATCCGCTGAGTGGCTACATTACAATGCTGCATTTGAAAATTGTAACAATGTAATAGTAGAAGCAGGACATACAAAAGAAAGCATTTGAAAAACATACAATCATTGTTCCAGTTTATGTGCTAGTTGTAAAAGATATACATCAAAATAAAAAAAAAAACAGAACGCCTTGCGACAAACAAATTAATAATAATAATAATAATAATAACAACGATAATAATAATTACGATAATAATTTTAAATATGACTGCAGGTCCGTATTTCCCTTGCTGTGGCTTAATTACAGTAAGTAAACACATTTTTGGCTGAACCCCATGCATGGACAAAAAATAGAGCAAAGGGCCCTCAGTCCTCATTTGTCGTCTAATGATGCACCGGCCAAGTCAGCGGCCGGTTTTGCTGCCCCGCGTTACGTGACACTTGTTCTAAAAAGTGAAATTCCTGAGTGCCACTGCTTACAATTAGTTTCTCATGTTGTCAGCTTCAACCTCAACCTCAACCCAAGAGCCGGGCTACAGTTCAGAACCCTGCCAATAACTGTTACAGTGCAAAGTGAGAGCAACAGTTCACAAGGCGTTCCTGTGAATCAGCTCAAACCTGATTTAATTTCACTGGGCCTTGGACCTTTAGAAACTCAGTTACTCAGACTCTAATCTTTCCTGTAAATTTTAAACAATGATTTTTGGAATTTCAGTGGACTCCAATTATGAGAACATCATTGAACACCATATGCCTCAGCTGAAGCGATCGACAGGTGAAAGAGGATTATCACAGTTCATAATCAATGTAACTGTGTCAACACCAAAGCTCAATGTTAATTTAATAAAAATATATAAATATATTTTTGAACCAATACATCCATTATTTTTGGAGAAAACACAAAGAAACAGAGCAAGGAACACTCTGCCGGGCCAATGTGCTAACTATGCTGTGGTTTTCATTCTTTCACAGACCTGTTTGGCATCACCGTGCATCATGTGACTTCACTAAATCTAAATCTGGAAATGTATTAATACAACAACTTTAGAATAAGAATCCTGCTGTACAAAATTTAAACAAGTGAATATAGTTGATAGATTTCATCACTTCAGGTAACACATAGTCTAGTACCTATAATATTTCCATCAACAAATTCATCCTCTATACCTGCTTGCCTGGTACAGGGTTGAGGTAAGCCTGAAGCACATCCCAAGAAATGTTCTTCATAAAAAGAATAATTTCCTCCTTACCTACCTACCCACCCACCGACTAAGTCGTATGCATTGGAAGGGATACCAGTCACCAGTCACACACACAATCTCACTTCTGCAACACACTCTGTAGAAACAACAGCTCAAAATGCAAAAAAGAAATACCTAATTACATCGTGATTTACTCCCTTGAAAATGATGCAAAATAATGTGAATATTTTGTTTTTAGAATGATCTCATTAAAAACAGCCGCATCTGAGACCCTATAGCTGCATTCCTCAGCAAAAGCTACCTCATGAAGCTCAAGTGAAATGTAAATAAGTAAAGGAATAATACTAGAGAATTTCAAAAACGTTTCATATTCCTGGGAGCCCTGTTAAGCTAATCATTAGAAAATGCAGAGAACATGGTAAAACTCAGAATGGGAGCCTCCCCATAGGAGAATAACTTATCAAGGAGGCTTTTTGGTCTTCCTGGGCTGAGATGGGCGAAGCTGTCTAAGGTATAATGACAGTCCAGGCTTTTCTTAAGCCTGGGCTTTATAGGATGGTGGCTGAAGGCCGTTGAAAAAAGCAAAAATAATAAACAAACAAACAAACAGATAAATACACATCAGCTTTTGTATATACAGTGTATATATTTTTACTTTTTTTAAAGCAAATCTTTGCTTGTATTTTCTGTTGCAGTCAGGGAAACTGAAACAGCTGTATTGCTTATGCATGCTGAAAAGGAGTCTGATATACTCTCCCCTGACCTTACATTATCCCCCTGCTCTTTGATTTTAAACATCAAACTGTGAAGAAAGAAAAGGCTTTACTCTGAAACTCCGCTGCCCACGGAATTCTTTGTTCTGCTGTCGTTGTTCAACTGAGCTTTTGCCTCTCTTCTTTAGGGAATCCCCCCCCCCCCCCCCCCCCACCCCATTTCTAACTTAGTTGACAAAATAGATAGAGCTGAGCAGATCACACTCTTCTCATTGGTAAGCACTCCACACAATGACAGCAACAAAGCCATGCGGTTCCGCTTCCCATAATCCAGACAGTGTTTATCAGTGACTCCTGGTATCTATCAAAGAAATAGCTTTAGTTTGAAGGAGTACCTTCATTTTGCTACACCTGTGTCATATCATTTCACGTACATCAAGACTGAAGTCATACACTATAAAAATTTGTTGAGGGGAGGACATGGACCTTCAGAGGTGGGGCAGCATCAAGTGACGAGCCCTTCATACCCCTACGGCTCATTAATCTGACTAAAAACAATTCTCTGGTTCCTTCTTTTTCACACAACAACTCTCTGCCCGTTTTGCGCCCCTGTGTTTTTTAGTCTTTCCACGCTGTTAAAATGTCTACCTTTTGTTTTTCACAACCTCGTTCGATAAAGTTCCGAAACCCTACTGAAGTCCCCAGTCAATCATCCCATCCCTGTGTCACGTGGATCTGTATGTAGTTCCGACAAAGTTAGTCTTACAAAATTGTCTGCTTTAAAAAAAGAATTAATACACTAATGGCAGTTTTCCACTGACACCAAGAACCGAGCGGTACCTGAGCGGACCTGCAAAGAGAGCCACTATGTGGGCTGTACCCGACCCGCATCCGTGCTGACGTGGCTCTGCTGACTAACAGGCCCGAAAGCTCAGCTACTAAACTAAGCTAGTTGCGCCACCAGACTGGTCAAAATGAATCAGTGAAAAATTAAATCAGTGCTTCTCATTCCAGTCCTCGGGGACCCCAAGCAGTCGACAATTTTTGCTCCCTCTCAGCTGTACCAGGTATCCGGTGTTCTTGATTGGTTGAGTTGTGCTTGGAGCTCGGAGGGAGCAAAAATGTTGACCGTCTGGTGGCCCTGAGGACTGGGCTGAGAAACACAGATTTAAATGAAGTCATACTTTAGAAAGACAACATAAGGAAGTAACAGAGTAGCAACATGGATTTGACTTCCAGATGAAGGATGGACACCCTTCCTCCTGCAGACAGTACCTGAGCACAGAGGACAGCAGCTCCCCTCCATGTACACGGGGTTGTGACAGGGCAGGGCGGGGCAGCTGACAGTGGAGCACAGGGTCTGACCCTGCAGGCAGTAGCAGTGCGTGCAGCTGTCGATGTCCCAGCGCTCCTCGTCCACGTACGTCTTCCCGTTGAAGTGGCATACAGCCCTTGGCGCGGTGTCCTCTGAAAGGTGACAAGACCAAACATCCTTAGAGAGAAAGTGACTCAGTGGAACAGGTGAGACATAAAAGCAGATGCACCATCCTAATATTTGGAGCAGTGGAACAGGTCAGCTGGTCGTGCACCGACTAAGGAACCGGGCTTTTGAAGGCGCAGCTGCGGCTTCCCAAAAAGGGCCTTCATGCTGCTCCCTTGAGTGAGGCACTTAATGTTTTCCTTGAAAAATATCCACCTGTACAAATGCATACAAGTGTACACCGGTAAGTAAGGGTGCTCTCGAAATGTTTTCCGCTTGGACAGTTTCTCAATACTGAAACAGTTTTGTAGGCCAGCGAGGGGGAAGGCAGAGCTCGCCGGCTTATTTCAGCTCTTAGAGCAAACCATGAAAATGTCCTTTTATCGAAGGCGTCTTTCACTACACTGTTCATCCATCCATCGATTTTTAGTGTTCCCTTATCCAATGAGGGTTTCTATTCAAGGGAGGTATAGCCCATGATGAAAGGCACAAGATATTCAGGGCAAAGCACTTGCACACACAAAATGAGCATGTGTGTTTCTCAACACCAAGAGCGCAAAGACTGTAGTTGTGTTCTTGGCAAGATCAGTCTTGTTAATTTGCCTCCCCAGAAAAAACTCAGGATGCAATGAATCATGGGATTATTCTTACTGGTAAGATGCATGTGATGCATCCTTGATATTTGGGGTGGAGCATGAACGACTATCCTCTATACTTCTGTTACTGAGTATTGGAACTGTACTTTGGCAATGGAAGATGACGTTAAACAGGTACGCGAGAACACAAGAATGGACAAGTATGCATATTGATAAGCAGCCCATGTCTTTCAGCATATCTTTCATTGCATGTCTGCAGTAAAATGGAGTTCTGGCAGGAGTGCTGATTTGCCCCATTTTGTAAGGGTTTCCTCTCTGGAGTCTTTGTTTCCGTCTGTAGGCCAAAGACGTGCATCTCACATGTCCTAACACCTCTAAATCAGTGCCCTGTGATGGACAAGCATGCCATCCAGGGTGTTCCCTGCTCCATGCTTCTTGGGAAAGTCTCTGGGCGCACCGTGACGTTATGCTGCATCGGTGATCGTAGAGGAGGAATGGATGGACACAAAGAGAAGACTGGTAGCAGGAAGCATGGTGGTTCGAGACTTGGACCGCTCCTTGGAAGAGTTGTTCAGTTGTACTGTTGACTCTAGACTGTGATCAAATATCCAGATACATAAACTGGCAAGAACTGCTTTGGATATTTGTAATGTGAAGATTCCCACCCGAGCCTGACTAGTTCCAGTTGGTAAAAACATAAAAACAGGCCCAGTGTCACTCCTGCCTTGTTGCTCACCCAGGCAGTAGGGACAGCACTGTCCCTTCCGCAGCACGGGCTTGGTGCAGCCGACCACCGGGCAGGATTCCGAGAAGCAGCTGATGACACCATCCAGGCAAATGCAGCTTGAGCACATGTTAGGCTTCCAAGACTCCGCTGCGAGGAAGATGTCGCCCTCCTCGTTCCGGCAGTAGCTGGGCATGCGGTCATTGCTGGGGGGTTGCGGAGTGAAGGGTCCATCTAGCGTAGAGCGTGGAAACACACGGACGAGCTCAGATTCCAAACTAAAGCTGTAAACCAAGGATCACCAACATGGTGTCCTCATTGCTATTCTTCTTTAATCACATTTGCATTTATATAGATTTGAAAATGACAATATCTAAAAAAAAAAAAAAAAAGCATTTAAAACATGTTTATTATACATGAAGGTTAGATAAGTTTAGGAGCGTTTCAGACTGGTAGCCCTTCGTATGACTCAGTAACCGTGAAGTAGCTCTCAGTTTCATAAAGGTTGGTGACCCCTAAACTTTCATTTTTAGAGTTTTATTGAGAGTCTCGCCCACGCCATTCTCTTTATATACTGGTTTCAAATTTATAATGCAGACAATCATGCTTATGGGTAGCTGGCCAATGATGCCTGTTGTATCTAGGAAAGGTGAGAAGAAGCTGATTGTGACTGGCAGGGGAAATGGGCAGTACCTGGGCAGTGCGGGCAGCAGGAGTCCTGAGTCCTGACGGGGCTCTGGCAGAGTAACGGCGGGCACACCTCTGCCTCACACAGCACCCTGCCGCCGTGGCATGTGCACTGCGTGCAGGAGTCTATGTTCCAAGTCTCGCCCTCGACAAAGTACTCGCCACCTGGGGCGAGGCACACAGACAGGTCGCCCAGCTCGGGATTGTGGGAACCGGGGTCACCTGAGGGCAGAATTTAAAAAAAATTATAAATAAATACTTAGATAATTATTATTAATAATAATAAAACGAGGGCTTCAGGTGAAAACGTTTCATTGTGCATATTGTTTTGTAACGCTCCAGTGTCTATATTTGTTCCCTGATGTAATACAGATTCCTACTGAATGTTGATAGCAAGGTCTGGGATAATTCCCCTTCCTTCCTCTATAATTTGTCCTCCAGTCCTCTTTCTTTCCGCTTTCATTTCTGACTTGCCTGGACCACACTGCACTCCATACCTCAGGTCACTGCACCAATAACTGCTTACTGTTTTATGTAGAAAATCACTGATCACTCCGCAGAGGAATAGTACACTGCAACCCATGGACCACCACGGCCCCAAGATGGCTGAGTCACAGTCACAGGGAACTCAGCTGAACTCAAACCATTGTCTGGATTTGTACTTTCTGGAGCTGAACTTTCCACCTCTGCTGAGAGCAGGGCTGTATGCGGGGGTGGCGCCACAGGAGCACTGGCCCCAGCTGAAACCTGATTGGCTCGCGGAGTGCCCCCTTCCCTGTCACACACGGCTTTAAATTATGTCATTGGCTAATAATAAGGTTGGCCTCTCCGTATGAGTTATGTCTCCTCTTATGTCCCCATCTTAAAAAAATCTTCGTATCACCCCTGTGTGAAAGTAGCATACTCCATTTATATTGTTACTCCATCCTCTCTTCAGCAAGACATTTTCCAGAGTACCGACTTCTCAGATTTTTTTCCTTTTATTAACAGTCATGTAGTTCAGTCAAACCACAAAGCCAATTGGCCCATCCCTCCCCTGTATCTCCACTAGGGTCAAAACCGGTGGGCAGAACGACTCACATTCTGAATAATATAACCAGCAGTGTCTTTGATATGCTAAAGAAGAGCATCTCAGCCAAAACTACGTAGAGTTTTAACAGTGTGTTTAGATTCATGCTTACAGGTCTGGCGGGAACATACCCGGGCAAGATGGGCAGCACTGACCGGACCAGATAGTGGGATTGGCACAGGCCGGCACGGGACAGGAGATCAGGGCACACATCTCCCGTCCGCTGTGGCAGTAGCAGTCGCGGCAGCCATCGTGCCAGTTCTCTCCGTTCTCGTGCCGACGGCCGTCCATGGACAGGCAGGAGCCCAGCTTCACTGACGGAGCCACTGATGACACACCTGGGTCTAGCGGCACAGGGGAGACACACATACATGTCAAATGCTGATAGGAAAACGACGAGATCGGCCTTCCTACGCAAATTTATTTTTTTGCTGATTTTGCGGCTCGACTGAATAATCTGCCCATTAGCCCATTTCATCAATGTCACATGAAAGTGCCATTTACCAGAACCACTTCTCTAGTTATCAGAATATCCGCAGTGTAATGTGAAATGAGCCGCACGGACAAAACTCGCTCCTATGCTCAACCCTCAAGCTTTCTAGTCCCCTAATTAAATGCTGTCCAGCAACAAGCTCATCTCCTACAGCTTCCAGATTAGATAGCAGCTCCTGCATATAATCAATATATCTCGGCAAAATAAGACTAAAAAGGTGGTGGTGGGGGGGTAACCTTAATTAAATCCCCTCTTAGAGATATGAAGGATGCACAGATTGAAACACAGCAAATTAAAAGTGCCCTCATTAATACAGCTATGCTCCCTTTCATAAATATTTCACATGTCAAATTCATTATTCAGAATGAAGTGCCCATGACAGATGAGTAATATTAATATCAGAAATAACTGAGGACTCCAAGTCTGCTCTCAAAATCATTAGAGAGACACGTGAAAGGTACCCCATGTTAAAATTGTGCTGATGTTGGATAGGGATTCCGTTAAAATGTGTACAATGAAATAAAATAAAAAATATTGCTCTTAGTATGTAATGTTTCATAGTTAAGTATTTGCAATTTGCAATTAAGTAATAAACTGAATATAAAAACCAAGACATATAATACAGACATAACATTAAGACAGGGAAACAACGATATATTTTGATTATTATATTGCTATTCCTATCAATGTAGTGTATGTGCACCAGGTAATACAGATAAGTGGCACTATGACATGCCGGCTACATTCTGCATTTGTCTAGGATATACATTAGACAAAAAACACTCAAAAAGATACATTAATAAGTATGAAGACAATACATTATGGATAAATACTGAGTGAACATGTTTATCTCGTATTTAAGTATTAGCGATATATTTGCACTTTTTTTACGTCGACACAAGAAAACATCAATGCACTGAAAATATCCATGTATCAAAGTACAACCACTAAAGTAAAATAACCAAATACAGGTATCTGTGGAGTACATCAGCTTCTAATGGGATTCTCAACCTTTTGCCCAAAAAGTGACCCAAGATGAACAGGCTGTTAAATCAGAACAATGTGGTCCTTATACATTTAACACTTTTAGCTACAGTGAATCCTGATTTCCCCATAAGAACCTGTGGTGCTTCTTAGCTATTTTTAGGCAACATGTTTACTTTTAAGCTACCTTATAGTGTTAGTGCAGATGATTACGCAGACAGAAGATAAACAATGCCAATCAGCATCATACACATAATTTTCACTGACACTGAAGCTGGATGTGGTAAACAATGCTTCAGTTACTATAAATGTGATTCCCAGTTACTTGGCATTACTAATAACACAAACAAAAGACAAAGCTAATGGCTAATCAGAAATGACATCAGCTAATGGAATCTGCATCTTTGGAAGCCACTTACCTCGACACTGGCACATGAGGCAGCCCAGCGGGTCCAACTGGAAGCCTAATGGACAGGCCTTGTCACATGGTACCTCAGGACACTTCTTACAGCGGCAGATATCGCAGCCATGCTTGTTCTTTCTAAAGGTAGTTGTTTTGAAAGAGAGTAAAAAAAATTCAGGACATTCCAACAAATAAAAACCATTGAAAACAGTTCAATCTTACACTGCAATGCCTTTGAAAACTTTGCAACAATTATCATGTTGCACAGCCTCTTAGCTGCTGCAGCCTGAGCTATGTTATCTATATATTTTGTTAGATACCTATGATGTGATTCTTTTTAAGACGGTAAAGTAAGAAAAGTATACAGCTGTCTGAAAGCATGACTGCTGTTCAGTTTCGTTTCATCCAAGCCACCTGAGGCAATGAAGCAAAAGATTTTTCGCCTCTAAGTCAAGTGCTTTTTGATTAGGTGCATGCTAACTTAGTTAGAATTCCTAAAATGCCTCCCATGAATGACCCCCCCCCCACCCCGGCCAGTATTTTCTGTCTGCTTATCTGAAGAATAATGGGGGTGAAAAGCAACCACACGCCATTCGCATTCTGTGACGTGATAAGGAGCTATCAGGAGTGATTTCAGTCGTGGAGAATATCAATAGAAGAGCTGGAGAGCAAGCGGTGCCCTCAGACAAATGAATAATTCAGATGAACACGCCAAGACTGAACCTAAGCTATAACTTTGAGAGAATAAATAGATATCTAAAATTAGAATCTTAGATGCAAGCATTCAAGGCAGTAACTCATTTCAGAAAATGGAAAAGAGAGAGAAGTGATAACAGATATAGATGGTCAGATACACAACACGAACGTTCAATGACACCTTAAGAGTTACTTTATTAAGGCAGCAACAAATATGAAGACAGTGCAGTAAACTCTGGCTGTCAGATCGGCTGTCCTACCAGACAGCCCAGAAGAACATCATGTTCACCGCTGCTCAAACGATATATACGGTCACCTCTGCAAATGCACAGCCCAAAAAGCTGTAGAAGTAGCCTCAAAATAAAATATTTTTGCTTTTATTACCTATTCGGTCACAATTTAAGCACCCTTAGTGAATTTTAATGGATGGAAATGTCATTTCTTTATAACATTTTGATATTTAAAATCTGGGAACATTTAAGCAGATGTGACAGGACCACATCATGTCTGTGCATCATCTGCACCGCGCTGCGAGTCACCTGCAGCTGTCCAGGGGACCTGGACACAAACAGAACCTCAACTGAGGGCTGCCAATTCACAGGCCTCGGCCAAGACTCCATGACACCATGTGTAAAGGGCAGTGGAGGAAGCCCGGCTGAAAAAGCGAGCATGATCAGCGAATGACCAATCAGGGCGTGGCATGATCAGCGAATGACCAATCAGGGCGTGGCTAACAATCCACATCAGGCCGGATCCTCCAGCTGAAAAAGCGAGCATGATCAGCGAATGACCAATCAGGGCATGGCATGATCAGCGAACGACCAATCAGGGCGTGGCTAACAATCCACATCAGGCCGGATCCTCCTCCTCGCGGCTTTGTTAACCGAGCTTGGCTGAACTAAGAAATGGAGAATGTCTCACATGAAGCCAAATGGACAGTCCTTGTCACATGCCACAGATTTGCACTTCTTGGGTCTTGGACGACACTGACATATCGCGCAGCTGTGGACGTCCGTCTGGAAGCCGAAAGGGCAGGCCAACGTGCAGCCTGAGATCAGGCCTCTACACAGCTCCTCTCCTAAAGTTAAGGGGGAAAACAAACAATCAAATAAGGATGTCTTATTAGCTACAGTATACAGGCTGCCGATATAAATCACAAGACACTCGCATTACTTTGGACAAATTACATACACCAAATAACTGTTCTCATAAAGCATCACCTATTACTTGATTACACCAGTTTTCATAAACTTAATGAATCAAATAAATAAATTTATATATATATATATATATAAATAAATAAAAGAACATTCTGTTGTATAGTATGCATGTAAAAAAAAACAATGCTAAAAGCTCGTTAATCTTATCCCATATTCATATCCAACTCTTACTATATGTCATTTAGCACTGAGCACTTTATCGAGTGATTCTGATTCTTATATTTTTATAATTTTTTTATTCGTTCTATTTTATGTTTTTTTTCAAAGGGTGAGCAAGCAAAGTAAGAATTTCATTACATGGTTCTAACGTGTACATGTTTTATTTACTGTGTATATGACAATAAACTTCTTGAACTTGATTCAAGCACACGTCTGCATTCATTATATTAGTGCATCAGTAAAGAGAATAAATAAAGAATAAAGAATAAACAAATAATCAGCCTCAGAAAGCACAGCTCATACTTAACACCTTCCAATCCAGATGCGGTACTTTAAATCTAAACAGACTTTCTCAAAGAGTTTTAAGCTGCCAAATGGAGTTACTCTCATATTAAATTAACAGTTACATTATTTAAATGTATCAGAATGAAGGTAACTGTCCTGCTGCATCCTTGCCCACATTTTTTCTAAGTAGTTCCATCCATCCATCCATCCATCCATCCATGCTTTCAAAGTTGCTTTAAATTTTATTTTTGTTTTACAAGAAACATCACTACTATCACGAGACTTGTGACTGTAACTCACGTGTTCTGCACTGACAAAGACGGCAGTTGTTTTGGTCACGTTTGTATCCATAGATACAGTCCTGCTCCGTAAGGCTGCAGTTTCTCAGGGAACTACAAGCAGGGGGCGCCATAGTGATGTATGTTGGCTCTGGGGAAACAGCGCGGGGGGACAGGGAAGAGTCACAGACGAACTCCTTCATGCATTTGAATGGAGTTCAGTGATTATGACTGTGATTGCAAGTCTAGCAAGTGAAAAGCAATTTTAGCTAAACCACAGTAATATATGTAAATATATTTCTGAAGCATCCAGCGAATATTTTCAAGTCCAGCCACAAAATATTGCCTAACAGAGGTTATTGTGGTATATTAAATGATAAAAGACAACTGCTTCAATATATAAAAAGACTGAAAAACACTTAATGCCTTGAAATGTAACTTTTCGAAGTTCTGCCTTCAAACTAAGAATTTTATGATAGCTGAGTCATGTTACAGCCTAACACCTGTACCTCAGATATTAATGCATCAGATGAACTATTGGCTGATAATAAATAATTGCGAAGAAATATTTTCATCACATTTTTGCTTACACATCACTCATTTTTTTCTAAAATTTCCAAAGTGGGTATTATTTTCTGTGTCGTATCGCCCCTATCCATATTTCACATTCTTTCCTCCAATGTCTGCTATCGTCTGCATCTGTGATAGTACTTTTAATTGTTTCCTACTTCGGGCATGATATTATCTCACTATAACTGGTATTTGTAAGCAAGACAACAGCAGAACGGTGGTTCTCAACCATATTTCTGTGCAGCCCATTTCAAGTGAAGTCAAGTCAAGCCAAGTCAAGTGGGTCTTTTCCGTCATCCCATCTATATGCAACCCGCAGCATACAGAGGTGCGGATTGACATTCCCCAGGGCCGAGGTGCAGTATATAAAAGTGCAGAGACAGTATACCAGAGAAGTGCAACATATGAGGGAGGGAGAAAACAGAGAATAATAGCTAATAAATAAAAATAGAGAATATACACACACTAACACGAAGGGGAGCTAGGGGTAGCCATACAATATAGCAGATACGGTAGCTACTGTAAAAATAATAATGTAACAATACGACAGATATGGCACAGATGTAGGAATCCCACAATTCCAAAGAAACCGAACATTTCAGATATGTAGCCACTACATGCAGAGACTGGCAGAAGGTTTTAAAATGTCTTCTGCATAAAATGTTTCATTTTTAATATTTCTGATCTTTTCATTTAGGGAACAATTTCCAGCTGGATCCTGCCTGCCTGCTGCGATTCCGCTGCTAGAAATAATTTTGCTAACAGTCAATAAGGGGAATCGTCAGCTAGAAAAAGCATCCAACTGAAAACCGAAACATTCATCTTAAAATCCTGGCGCTTGTTTTAAACTGAAGAAAACTCTCATGTTGCTCCAAAAAAATCAATCAATAAGTGAAGTCCATCCGTCCGTCCATCCATCCACCCCTCTGTCCATCCATCCACCCCTCTGTCCATCCATCCATCCATCCACCCCCAGCTACCAATATAGTATAGGGCTGTAGTGATCCTACAACCTAACCCAGGAATCACATACCAAGTGTCCCTTGACAAAACACCGGTCCATCACAGGGTCCCTGCACATTCTCTGCACAATTTAGGGACCCCAATTTACTTAATGCCCTGTGTTTGGACTGCAGGAGAAATCTGGAGTACCTGGAATAAACCATCAAAAAAACACAGAGCCAGGACCAAGACTGAAAGCCTCAACCCCGATAAGAGTAGTAACACTGCAGCGCTACCCATGGAGCGGGGGGGTGGGGGGGGACATGCCCACACACACTCACACGAACACAGGCGGAGAAAAAGCACAAACAGGCAGCTTGAATCACAGGCATCCTCTCTTTCGTGTCTGTCAAGCATGTTGTAATAACCGTTACAAACCTCCAGGGGCGTTATTCCAAGCTAACAGCCTTCATTGGCTTAATTACATACATTGTGCCGATCAGAATAACAAACTGAAACACAGAGGGTGTCACCTTGAAGAAATGAGGTCTGGTTACAAATCATGATTAGGAAAATAAAAATGAACTATTCAAAGTAAGGCTTATGAAATCGCTTAATTAGTTTGCTATAGTTCAGAGCAGAAACACTCACACTTTGAAGTACAAGGACGAGGACAGGTATGATAGGGTGTGACTGGTATCCAAGGTTTCAGTTTTCTTAACAGTCTGGCCAGCATCAGTGCTCCTGAACTTCCCAGAAACAGCACAAATCTGGACATGAAGTAATTGAATTCTAGTTACAAAAATATTGTTTCTAATATTATCTTCCCGTCCGGACGTTGAGTAGCTCCTTGATAATGTATATTTACATATTTCTTCAATTGGGATGCAGAACTGCTTTCACATGACATCTGACTTCAACAGAGAAGTATGACACCTAGTCATCAAACATAGGCCAGTTTCATGACAGGACCATTCATTTGGGGACAGCACTGTAGTATTTCATTTTAACGCTCCAGAACCATAAACATTTAAAAAATGATTTTCCTACACACATTTTTCTTTATTAGGAATTTCTATTTATTTTGATAAACCGATATAAAGGTTTTATTACAGCCGGCGGCCGTGGATGTTCGCGGGGGTGGATGTTCGCGGGCGTGGATGTCCGCGGGCGTGGATGTCCGCGGGGGTGGATGTCCGCGGGGGTGGATGTCCGCGGGGGTGGATGTCCGCGGGGGTGGATGTCCGCGGGGGTGGATGTCCGCGGGGGTACGGTCACTGGAGGTGGTTATTATGCCTGTTTCAGTAGCTCCTGACAAACCTTTGGCCCCGTTAATTGGGCTCTTTGCATTCTAATAAAGAAAAGTGGGCACGAAACAATGCCCAGGAGTTGTCACATACGTTCTCATTTTCCAGAACTTGTCTGTATCGATTACTTTATAATTAAGCCCATGAAATGGCTTTAATTGGTAAGGATGTCATGCGAATCCGACCAATGGGGCAACAGAGGGGTCAGTCTTCCCTGTCGCAGTCTTCATCTGTTGCCTGAATCGATAACATGGACACCTGCGCCCGTAATGTTTCTAACCCTCAACACAAAAATATGACAACAATATTGCTTGGCTACTGGCTCTACCCAATGCTAGAGTAGATGTGTACCTTAAGACGTGTTTAATATTATCGCTGGATAACCCCGATCTTCAAAATATTTGAAATAAAGGTAAAAGATGTATTGCATTTGATGCAGGCGAGACCCTTCTTTTGTCTATTGCTGAATTATTCTACTACTTTTAGACACTGGATCTTTGGATCTATGTGCAGTTCATATTGATTTAAGCAGTATATTCATGCAGATGATAGGCATCACTACACAGACAATACAACACAGGCATCACAGTAGAGGTTTATCACTGAATCTGAGTTCTATTGAACCAAAAATACATAATTCAAGACGATGGGTGACTCTGGCCCTGTTGTGATGAGGGCTGAGTAGCCCCGGGAAGTAGGGCAGCCAGTTGACCTTGGACCCCTATAGGATATTTTTCCCACCCTAATTAAGAGTTTTTATCTCCTCTTCTCTGTTGTCACCTGGATTTCTCTCTTCCATTTCTTTGTCCTCCCATTTGAATAATTCTAAATGATGCAGGAATGTATCACAACACGCCCATGTAGCACCTCGGGGCATCTCTGTTGCGAAAGGTGCAATACAAAAATTAATTGAATTAAATTGACTTACAATATTCCTTGTTGCATGCAAACCTCCCCTTAAATCTCAGGATGGTGGCGCAGACACACGAGAGCTCGGCTAATTATTCCGCCATCGCGGAGGAAGACCCTCCCCCTCATCAAACACCTGCTCCTGCCAGTAATCAGCGCCCCCGCTGGGACATGCATATGTGTTGTTGTTCTTTTTTTTTATAATATCACCACAGCAGCACTATGCCCTGCAACACGGGAGAAGAAGGGATTACAGCCACTCCCAGGTCCGCCAATCTTACAGAACCGGGTGATGAAATAAAGACCCAGCATTTGCATAGGAGCTATGACATGTTTACTCAATTAAATACCTCCTGAAATTCAAAGAGAGCGTGCACATATCCATAGGGCACATCCATAGACCAGGGTAATACTGCAGTAATCCTACTGCAATGATTCCAGGAACGTGAGCCCATTTAAAAGAAGCTTCACAAAAGATGCCCTTTATATATATTATAATAGGTGCCTGTCTTTCAGTTTATAGTCGTAATGGACACTATTTTTGTTAGGTAGCTAATTTTCCCTGAAACGGAAACTCATACAACTTCAATGAACTGTGATATTTTTTTTTGTCCCAGTCTGGGGAGAAGAAGAAGGGAAAAAAAACCTCCATTCAAGACTAATTAAAAAGCAGAGGAATGCAGATGAAAGGAGTATTTCATGTAGGGTTATAATTTTCAAAATGAACAACAATATGTATATTATATTCACAAGGGAATAGCTACACATTACCAGTGGACACAGATATAAAACCATCTCAACAGTAGCTGTAAAAAAAAAAAATAAAAATGGTGCAGACAAGTAGGGGGAAAAAATCACTTGCCACAGCTGCTGTCAGCAACTCCTTATTACAATGCAATCCAAAGCAGAGACTCGTGTTATAATGGAGGACGGCGACGGTTATGAACAGCATTGCCAGCTGGGTTCCAATCATGCATACAATAGCAAGTCTAATGAATGATTCACAATCCGAAATGTATTACCTTGGAGCTGCAGCACATAACCAGAACTGGCAACAAAGTAACTACAACTGTAACTAAAGTGAAATTACATCGGGCTGCTGGAGCCTTGGACTCCCGTTTCAATGCACCGCTGTGCGTTTGTGACTTCAGAGAATGCTTTACAATCGACTGCCGCCTTTTCTCAATGGAAACCGAACCAGAATAAACGTGTCCTATGTCCGTCTAACCGTACAAGGACTTATTAAAAAAGAAAAAAGCAAGAAATCAAATTAAAGAAAGAATGACAAAGTAACAGCTGGGTCACTGCAGAGGTGATCAAGGCTTGACAAGTTTGATGACTGGGGCACTGAGAGTCGGTGCTTTGAAATTAAACACCACCAGGGAACTGGGGAGCCAGGAAGCCAAAAATGGCACGGGGGGGTGGGGTGATCCTAACATTACAAGAGGAGAGGTACCTTTCAGAACACCTCAAGTTTTCCACCACTCTGTATTCCAACTTTGCTTTGCGTCTATTCATTGCAGCAGCACAGAATCTGTTTAAATAATAAGCGATAACCTGAAAACTTGCGTTTTTATCTGCTTATACATCTGCAAGCAGTTGAAGATAACAGACGTGTGCAAATCTGCAGCCCAGAGACAGACCGACATCTGCAGGGTGGGAGAGATATTGGGTGGTCCTTACCTTCACAGACTGGGCAACACTCTCCGGGTACAGTCACAGGGTTCAGGCAACTGTGGCCGCAGGCGGCGGCCAGGCAACGCGCCTCCCCGCTCACGCACTGGCAGAACGTGCAGTCGTCCTCCCGCCAGTGGTCGCCGTGGGCCAGGATCTGCCCATTGGCGTAGCAGCCGGCATAGTTCAGCACGGGCTGGCTGATGTCTGGAAGCAATTGCAGGACAGAGGGGATTGGCATGCTATAGGATACTCGAACCCACAACCACAAGCTCTGAATCACCTGCCGCACGAGGGAGCAAAAAAGAAAACAGGGCAATTTTTTTGTCAAGACATATTTGTGGGGAAATATCAAGGCTGTGTGATCTGGACTGCTGCGGCCTACCTTCACAGACGGGACAGCACTCTCCCTCTGGCACGTAGTAGCGCTCGCAGTGAAGGACGCCACACTGTGCTGAGAAGCAGACCGACACCCCACCCTGGCAGCGGCAGAAGCGACAGGCATCCATTCGGAACATGTCTCCATCATAGTACTCCACTCCGTTGAACAAGCAGGCTGGCTTAGTCTCTGGCAGACAGCGGAAAGACACAGAACACTTTTGCATAAAGGATCTGATAATGGCGGCTGAGCAGAACTGCTTGTTTTCCGCTTCCTCTGTTTACCTGCGACGTGAGCGTGTGTCTCTGAATAATTTATTCCACTATCAGTACACATCCCTTTTGTGTTTTGTATGCGTGTTTCAGTCTGTGTGTAGAGAAAGGTGCTATGGATGAAAGTACCGACCCTGCAGTTTATGAAATACCGTAACCAATGTAACCTACAGACATAAGACATGAAACATCACAGTGATTTCTTTTTTTTTTTTTAGATTTGAGGAGCCTTGAAACACAACGTTCCCCATTGAAGAGGATAGGGCTTTCCTGGTTTCCATGGCAACACCAGGTGCACATTCATGTGTTTCTGCTAGTAATTATTGTACTGCCTACAGTAGTTTATGTCAACTTCCGAGAATATAAAAAGGAAGGAAAAAGAAAGCAACCGTGACCTTCGTGAAGTAATATATGTCCCACTCCTTTCACACCTAGCTGGTACAGAGCCAAAATATTGGAAAACATGCAGAGCAAAATAAAATTTCACCAACGCAGCAGTCAAAAAAGGAAGCAATGAAAAGTCCTTTGTCATACATAGGCACTTTGATATAAATTATAAAGTAGATAAAGGAGGCTTATTTTATTTTTTTTAACTGTATTAAAGTTTCCAGGTACGATTCAGTGCTCTGTCCTTCCAGGCCAATGCTGAAAAAGCAAAACAGAACTCAAAAGATATGCTCATGTGAATTTTATGATACAATTAAACTGACTTCCCACATATACAATTACAGGCCTGTCAATTTGGAGTGCAGGACTAATTCCAGTGACTAATTTATTCAATCAGCAGAATTATATGCTTTGTTTGACTCTATAATTGTTAAACAAGGAGTATGAAATAAGAACGTGGAATTTTTGCAATCCAGCCTTTCACTGCTTCATAAATTCATGTATCTCATTACCTGCATTATTTCGGGTGCTTCAGAAGTTCAGTGATTACACATTTTAAAGAAAAAAATATATACAAATGACTATTAAGTGATCTGAACAACACCAATATTATGAACATCAAAAAATTTGTAGTGAAATACGAAATCAGTTAAGTGAGCAGTTCATGAACAAGTTACCATGACTTTTATATAATCTAAAAATTGTGCTAAGGCACTGTTTATATGAGCCTTTAGAACAGAAGAACGACCTTACAGCTGCATAAATGGTGAATTCCCCCATCAACGCATCAACAACCTTGTACTCAAGAACTATGGGCATTGACCTGGCCAGGTCATTGTGCAAACAGGATAAACTAATGGAGAAAAAAACAGTCTAATTATGGAAATGCTGGCATGCTACACGCTGATGACACAACAACAGGAGATGTGTACTTCTGATAGCATGAAGGGCATCAGGACACTAAAAATATGCAGAGGATCACTGTTCTTGCCTTCCACTAGATGTCAGGAGGGAGGTAAAAACAAATGAACCAGGGTGCCCCTCCCCCCCCCCCCCCCAGATGAGGCTTGACCTGTAGGCCACCGACGGGCAACTGAGAAATGCCAGCAACGCAATCGGAATCGTTCTGCAAGCCTCGAAACACTGGCACCCGCAAGTAACAAGTATCTTTCCGGGCTTAAGATGTTTGGATAAGTGAGCTGGTGCCACGCAACGCAGCCCTGGAAAACTTGCGATTTATTCACGGCATGCGCTTCTCACGAGGCCACCATGCGTGACAGGAGTCACAGTGACCTCACGGAGGACACATTCGAGATCTTCGTGTGACACGTGAGGGGGATCTGCAGGTTCCTGGTATGCCCAAACAGCAGATAATATATGCATTCTCACACAAGCCAAATCTCGAATACCGCCCTAGCAGGAAGTAAAACAAGGACACAGCAAGTATACAAAAACAATACTCTATACTAAACCGATTGGTTGAAACAAAACTTTGGTCTGGACTTGTACTTTCTGGACCTGAACTTTCCACCTCTGGATGAACGCATGCAAAAGATGAGCCGGAGCGACACTCATGATTCTGTGAAGGCAGATGTTGTTGCTCCTCTCCATCACCCCACACACTGCAGCCTCCGAAATTCTCAAACTCGCCGTACGGCAGCGACCGTGACTATCTGAGCGGCTGGAGGTGCATCATGACTGCCAATGACACGGCTGATTCAACAGACCTCAGCATGAAATGTAACACGGCCCCAGAAAAAGACAGATCCACATGAGCTGCTCCAGGCCTTACACGCGGACATGTACAAAGAGGCGATGTAAATCACCTCACCTGAACTGCGTGCCCTGCGACTGTATAAAGAAAGAAAAACAGAAAGACATCCAAGCAAACAAAGTGTGAACACACAAAAACCGCGGACGGGGAAGAGGGAGCAGATTCAAACATGCACAAAGTATTAATGTGACAGCAGAGTCATGCTGCACCATTACTCCAAAAAGCTGCGAAAAATGTTACAGAAACTTAGTCATACCTGATGTCGTTAATAGAAATAGGCAGTGACCCAGCTGTGGCCCACGGTTAGTGACGCACGTCCTCTGAACCTGGTTCAGGGCCAGTATTCCAGTGGACAATTGGAAGCACTTTTCAGTAAGGTGATCTAGTTTGGAAGAGATGCGAAGCTGAGCTCTGGCTCGCTGCGGTCATTAAAAACCCATGACAAAGCAACTACTGATAGGGGCATCGTGGCTGGCAGCGATCCGGCTTTGAGATCTCCCTATCTGACATTTTTAGACCATAATTAAAAGCCATTGTCCCACATAGAACTGATGTGTATCAAGCAAATCTGGTCAAAAACACCACCTACGTCGCACTCAGCTGCCCCACAGCACTCAGCAGGGATATTCCAACATAGAGAAATGCACTCGATTTTTGCAAACAATGCAGCTAATTACCATTATGACGTAATATCCAGTGGAAGTACACGTGGCATATTTTTCATCCAAAGGTTAACACACATGTGAAAGTCAATATAAAAATCGGGGTAAATAAGATACGTCATATCAGGTAAAATATGCATATTTGATCTGGGAAGCGAGGTGAAAAAGGAAAAAAAAACATGACTGCCTGAATAGTCCTGTGACTCATATTATTCGACTTTCAAGTAGATTTCTTGGAATTTCCGGTAGCTTTCCTCAGCTTTGGTCTTAGCTTGTCCCTTTAACACAAAGATATCGCTCAAAATGAATGGGATCTTCTACTTGGGACAAAAAAAAAAACGATAGAAAATCCACAGATGTAGTTTCTGAAAGTGAATCTCTTTAAAGAACATCATTCTTTCATCCATAAATTTCAGAACTTGGGAGTTTAATTATGAATGTTTTAAACTCTGCTGGTAACTTTCGCTGTGTCCCTCCTCCACACCTTGGTGATTAAGGCTGTTAACAATGTGAGAGATTGACAAAGAGCAGTAAATGAGAGTGAATGAAGGGACACATGCCACACTGAGTGTCCTCCTTTCAATGGCCTTTATTGTTTGCCACTTGAGCCATGTTAATCTTTCGGGATACTGACGAGTGGCTCCATTCCGGAAGACCCTGTTGACAAGAATTATATCTCTGGATACTGCATAAATTGGTATTTGGTCAGGGGAAATCCGACAGAGCTGTGGAAAAAATGACTGAAATGTTTCAGAGGTATTTGCTTCCGTCATTTCCGGATGGCCAGTAAATCCAGAGCTTGGGAAAAATCCCGAGTGGGGGTTTAGGATTTCTTTTGTGTCTATGCGACTGCCGCTCTTGTTCTTGCCGCCTGATTATTTTTCATTCTGGCATTTAGAATGGGTATCAAAGCAGTCATATTCAGACCACTGCCCTATTTATACAAGTGAGTACAGTTAACACCTAATCACAATTAAGTACATTGACTAGGCGTGAATGTAAAAGAAGAAAAACTTAAATATATGTGAAAATTCCTAGATTTTTATGACATGAGACAATTCTATTTTAAAATTAGATGGATGACCTTTCAGCAATGCATCTGACAACAGCTTTTCCTCCAACAACTCTTTTCTTATAAATGTAAATAGCTTTTCCCCCAAAATATAAAGTAATATTTCCATGCAGAGTTGATTGGTACAAAAAAAAAAAGAACTTAAATGACTTATATTAAATGCTGTGCTCACTTACAAAGTCTCAAATGTCCCATGCAGACAGTTCAACATTTACAGATACAGTTCAGGTTAAGTATAAACAATATTCCTGGTTACAGTCCAGTTCCATCAACCTTTGGTTACCATGGTTTCAGACAGTTTTTTTTCCTTACTGCCTTCATATGAAACCCAATCTCTGAGCATTATATTTGCTGTGTATGCTTCGAGGCCTATTTGCATTTATTTGTTATGGTGGTTCTCATTCTGCCCTGCTATTGGCTATCCCGGAGATTTTTGGCTACCGAACCATATCGATAGATCAACAAGAGGATTCTAAAATGACATTTTCCCTATATTGTAAATCAGCTTATGTGTTTTAGTTACTCAACTACCTATAAAGTAGGTATTATTACTCTGAATGTGCTTTGATGCTGTCTAGTCATATCACTGCTGATGTATTATAATATGATGTTAATGGACTGTTTTATGATTAAGACAATTGTAAGCAAAACTGTAAATAATTTTGCACAAGTATCTCTAAGTTCTTTCGTTACAAGATAAAAATTGCCACGATGTAGCAGAATATCACAGTGTACACATTGTTAACGCAATTATCAATGAACTCCATATTTTAAGTTTTTTTTGCAGCATATCTTAACATTTTAATTTAATTAAACTTTTATAAATCTTCTAATCTATTATTTTGTTAAGATGGTTATTTTGCTTTAAAAAAAACGTTTTCTCAAAGATTAACTTATTCAGTGACGTGTGAAGGGACCGCGTGGCTGTACAGGGGGCACAAGAAGTTAGTCTCGTGTAAACCAGCACAGGGGGGCGGCTGCTGTTCTGCGCCGAATACCTAACTGATGACATCATCCTTATT